TTTCACTGGTTCTGTGTTCCATCTCTTCAACTCTCTTTATGTGTCACTCCATCAAGTTGACAACATCTGAGACATTGGACCTCACATTTTGGATCATGGTTTTTTGTCTTTCCAATGCGTTGTTTATTTTATCTGCATTGTTTTGGGTTGGGTTTTTTTTTGTTGTTGTTGTTGTTTTAGCTTCTCTTGGTTTTTTCTAGCAGTGTCCTGTATTTCTTTCACCCATAGAAAAGAGTCAATTATTGTTCTTTTGAATTCTGTGTCAGAAAGATCCATCAGACTTTCAGGCTTCAGGAAATCCTTTGATACAGTGTCACTTTTGCAGGATGACATCTTGATTTGGCCTTATGTACTATGTGATGTAGCCTGCTTCTTTTGTGACATTGCTATGGTAGAGTTTTTCATGTCTGAGGCAATGATAGGTTCTTGCTTTGAAGTGACTGCTCCAGAGAAGGATGGAGCAGTGAAGTTTCTGTTCAGGGCCTGTGAAAACAGCATCTTCTATTTATAACTGTTGCAGACCAAGGCTTTCTGGACTAAAGGCAGTTAGCTGACTGGATGTGAGTAGATATATGGCAGAGCTTAGAGGTACAGGTGTGGGCATGGTCAAGGGGTGCAGATGCGGGGCAGAGGTGTGGCCACGGAGTGCAGGCCAAGGGTTCGGGGTGTAGGCCTATGTGCAAGACAGATGTGGAGACTCATGCTGGGTGCAGGGCAGGCACACAGACGCACACTGGGTGAGCTTGTGTGCAGACTCTTGCTGATTGGGCATGCAATGTGACCTTACTCAAATTCCAGCTATCATGTGTGCTTTAGGCAGCCTGCTTCAGTGGCTGGCTTTTGGCAGCCTGCCGCCCTTGCTCTGGTCCATCCTCTAGCATTATATTTTAAAAACATATTTTCTTTGACTACATCTTAGTTTTGTCTTGAAGAGTCTGGTATAGTCTCACCTGTTCATTGCTTCCCAGCTATTTTGTTATTTGTCTTTATTTCCTCTTTGATCCAAGGGATATTTCTCTATCTTTTTATATCCCCCAAATTCTTTAAAATGATGTTACTTTTACAACATGAGAAAAACTATAATTTTATAAAGTTACAACTATCTACATTTTTATTTGCCGAGAATTTATTTTCAAGAAAGGAGCACAATACAATTAAATGCCTTCCCCCACATCTGAATAGTAGGCAGCTATAAACAGTGTTTATTAAATTACTTCTACTTTCCTGTGTAACCATTCATCTTTCAGTCTGTTGCACTCAGGTGTTTTGCATGTTGCTGTGACACTAGAAGCTAGGTGACTGGTATTTCAAATACTAGCAGGGCATGCCATGGTGGATAGGTTTCAGCAGAGCCTCCAGAGGAAGGGAGACTTGGTAGAAACATGGTTGCAAGTCAATTTTCACACAGAGCAATGTTTCATTGTGTTCCCAAGGCTATAAATCTTTATAGGAAGAGATTACTGCCCTTTTGGTTAGAGGTGCAACTGAAAGGTGAAAAGAACTTGAAGTACTTACTGGAGAAGATCAAAGACTACTATGGGTTATGCCTCCACATTGTTTTTGTTGTTACACGCTGTTGAGTTGCCTGTGACTCATAGTGACCCTACGTGCAAAGCCCTAAACCCTGCTCTGTCCTGTGCCAGTCTCACTGTCTCTGATACACCCACCCCTAATACTCCAGTCACGGAATCAATCTACCTCATAGAGTGTCTTCCTCTCCTGCACTGTCCCTCCACCCTCTCAAGCATGATGTCCCTCTCCAAGGACCTGTCGCTCCTTGCAACATGCCCAAAGTATGTCAGACAAAGCTTCAGAATCCTTGCCTTCAAGGAGCAGCCTGATTTAACCCTCTCCATGATAAACCTGTTCATTTTCTTAGCAGTCCATGGTATATTCAACACTCTTCTCCAGCACCACAGTTCAAAGGCATCAATTATCCTTCTATTATCTCTAGTCATTGTCCAACCTACCTCAACATTACTACAACAAAAATCCTCTCAGCTGGACCTATAAACAACATCATGGTAAATGGAGAAACGATTAATGTTGACAAGGATTTAATTTCACTCGACTCCACAATAAATACTCATTGAAGCATCAGTCAGGAAATAAACAGATTGTACTGAGCCAGTCTGCTGCCAAGGACCTCTTGGAAATACTAAAGAGCAAGGATAGCATGCTTGCTCTGAAGGATATAAAGAGCATGGTAAATACCATGGCCTGGGGGAGGTGCACCTTAGTCTTTAAAGTCTAAGCCATGGTATTCTCCATTGCTTCCTACACATTAGGAAAATTAGGTCATGTATAAGGAATACCAAAGAAGAACTGATGCCTTTGAATTGTGTTGCTGGCCATGGACTGCCAAAAGAACAAAAACAACAAAAATCTGTCTTGGAAAAAGTGCAGCTAAAATGTGACTTAGAAGCAAGTATGGTAAGACTTCATCTCACATACTATAAGCATGTTATCCATAGGGGCCAGCCTCTGGAGAAAGACATACTCCTTGGAAATATGTAGATAGTAAAACTATTACATTTTTCCCTATGAATTTTCATATTATTTACAATAAGTTTTTTATTAATGTCTTTGGGAATCAGATTAAATGAATGTATCATTAGCAGAAAATAGTTCTGTCTTCTATTTCTGGTACTTTATTTCTTTCTCTTGTCTAATTACATTGGTTAACACATTTAGAACAACGTTAAATAAGAGTGTGGCTTGTTCAGTTAGCAAGTTTAGTGTATAACCTTCTAGAGGCCGTATTTAAAAGGAAAGGAAAGATACTAATAAACATTTATTGAACTCCTATGTTCAGGCATGAGTCAAAAAATTTTTATTTTGACAGTATCTATTGCAACAGTGTACAGGAACTGTAATGGAAATGTATAGGAGATAATGTTCTAATTTTGTCTCTATCACTGATTGGACGACACTGGTGAGTTCTTAACAGTTTTCACTTACCTGGAAGGACAACCTGAGTGAACAGGAGGCAACTGTATCTGGTCTTATTCTCCCTCCCCAAACTATTGCTGCTCATGCCCTTGAGTCAATGCCATGACAGAGGACAAATGCTTCACAGGGTTTTCAGAACTTTGACATTCTGGAAGCAGATTACCAGCCCTATATTCCCAGCTGAGTCTGAATGGGAATAAAAGTCCAGCTTTCAATTAGTAATTGACTTTAGTAGCCAAGGGCTTAATTTATGTGACTCAAGAACTGTCACTCTCTACCATTTTTGTTCTTACATACCATTAAGTCAAAACCGACTCATAAATGACTCTCCAGTAGGTTTCAGAGGCAGTCAATTGCACAGAAAGAGACTGCCCATCTTTATCCTGAAGAAGAGCTGGTAGATTCTAACTACTTATCTTTGGATTGGCAGTGCTACTCCTTACCATTAGGCCGTCAGAGCTCCCTTCAACCTCAACTAAAGAAGAGTTTGGATCCACAATCATCACCCTTCGTACCAGCAGTCAAGAAAAGAAACCAAAAGTTGTATTGGGAAAATCTGCTGACAAGGACACCTCTCTTTAGAGTATTAACAAGCAACGATGTCAGTTTAAAGACTAAGGTGCACCTGATTAAAGTCATGGTCTTTTGAAAACTGGACAATGACAAAGGATGAGAGAAGAAGAATCAATCAATGTCTTTAAATTGTGGTGTTGAAGAGTACTGAATATTCCATGGTCTGTCCTGGTGAAAATGCAACAAGGGTGGTCCCTGGAGGCAAGAATGGTGAAACTCCATCTCACATACTTTGGCCATCTTGTAGGGGATGGGGGCAGTCCTTGGAGAAGGACATTACACTTGGAAAGGTAGCGAGTCACTGAAATTAGCTCACTTGTATTGTTGATGATGAGGATGGCACAGGATAAATGGCTCAGAGTTGTTGTTCAAAGAATTCCTATGAGTCTACTAGACAGCAACTAACAAAATAACATACCAGCATATGGAGCTGAGAAAAATAGTAAAAGAATGGATGTGGTGACTGACATCGCCCAAAAAGCAAACAAACAAGAGATTATCAGGCTCCTTGACATAATCCACATCTCATCTGTGAAATAGATCTGGATTGGTCAGACTTGCTAGAAATGTAGATCTTCACATACTCGCTAATAAATCCCTTTCTGTCTCAAGCATCTGCATAGGTTAGTTAAACTTTATTCTCCATATTAGGTTCTGGGTGGTCACCTAGACTGCAATGGTATCGATGCAGCTAATATGGCATTAAGACCTGGGCCTCCTTTTACTCTTTTGGGTACATTTTGGGGTTAAAAGCCAAGCCAGGCATCTTAAGGAAAGAGATATTAGAGGACAATCAAAAGGTCAAAAAGGTCAGGCTAGTTCTCCTGGAACTGCATCCCCTAGGAATCGACTTGGGCCTGCTCAGGGGCGGGGAGGAGGCTGGGTTCCAAGCTGTTGAGTGGCCGCCCATTTAGCCAATCAGCAAATCGCCTCGTCGCTGAGGTCCCGCCCCTCCCAGCACGGTGTACTCACTTTTCCTACTTCGGCGTTGCCCATGGAGATGACTTTGATGCGGAGGGACTTGCCAGGCTCTTTCCGCTTCGGCATGTTAGCCTCCATTGCCCTAGCTCTCTTAGGGCCACCTGCTTCGGTGTCTTCTAGTTCACCAAGCCAGCCCTTCCCTCAGGCCTCCTCATCCAATGGCGGAACCGCTACTCGCGTCACCGCCTCAGCCGCCAGGCTCGCCATCCCAGCCGCCGCCTGGCAGCAGGCGCAGGGCTGGGAACGCAGGGAACCAGGTGGTGAGGGAGGGAGAAGGAGGAACTCTCGCGATGCCTGGAAGGGGCGGCGTGACGTCATCGCCCGTCCATGATTACAGTGTTGGAGTTAACTGTTCCTGGGGTCTTAACAGCAGTCGTTGCTGTGGTTCTTGACACTCTGGCGCCGTTGAGGGCTGGCTGGGATTACTATCCATGGCCAGTACAGCATGCTTTTAGGGTTTCCAGGACAGTAGGAATTTGTTGTTTACAGTGTCGAGTGGTAGACATTTGCAGGCTATTCTGAATAGATCCTCGTACGGGGAGTAGATGATAGATTAGTTGAAGATGAATCCACGTCAGATTTTCAAACTAGAAAATAATCTGGGACTTCCCTGACTTCAATATTAAATCTCCCGGGCACTTTTTCCTTGAGAGGCAAGGCCAGAAGTGGGGAAGTCGAGCCTTGAAACTGGAAAAGAGATCTGAGGTTTCACAGGCAACAACTTCTCCATCAATTAGAGTAAGGATCAGTCATTTGGTCTTTTTGATATTCTACTGTAATTGGCTCATACGTGGGAGAACAAGTCAGATTAATGACGCCTATCATGTTCCCTTTCAGATCTATTAAGGTGTATAATTGTAGCTCTTTCAGTTTCCTCTGGTCCCTACCACTCATCTAGATTTAAAAGCCGTGTTCTGGTCTCAACATTCTTTTACTTGGCAATGTTGTTGTTGTGTACCGGGCCGACCCACAGCTTGCCCACCAGCGGGTTTTCTTTCAGAGGCAGTTTAATCACAGGAGAGAAGATTGCCCATCCTCCCCGCACTCCGCGGAGCAGCTGGTAAATTTGAACTGCGTGGCTTCGGGATTGCAGCACAGCTCCTTACCATTAGGACACAAGAGCTCTCTTTACTTGGCAATATGATAGTAAAATAACGAATTTTGAAACAGTTATTTTAAAAGTTCTCATTCCAGCAAGTGAGAAAAAGCTGCTGGACTGGAAAAAATCAGCCTGGCAGGTAGAGTTTTGAAAGACCACCAAAGTAATATCTTCAGTTACGGAAAAGAAATAGAACTTGGAAAATCATTATTTGGTGTTCGAGAAAAGAATGGCTCTCAATTTCCCAGTAAATCACAAACACAAAGGTAGTGCTTCTGTTCTCAGATGTATTGCAAGGAGACAGCAAAGACTAAAACTGTCGAAATTATTTTTTGTAAGGCAGATTTCCAAGGGATTTGTTTTTATTGTAATAACAATTTTATTATTTATAAGTAATGATAAAGTTATATAAAGCAGGAAAGGCTCAGCCAAATTATAGGCCTGTCAAGTGAAGAACAACACAAGGGAGGTATGCAAAGGCAGCCTGTGTTCAAGAGAGAGCTCAGGCAGGAAGGAGAAGGAAAGAAGAGAGAATGAGAGTAAGAAACACAGAAGGTCAACAAAGTGCTGTTGTGGTAATTACAACCAATGTCACAAAATATGTTATGAACTGTTGAACGGAAAATCAATTTGCTCCACAAACATTCACGCAAATCATAGCAAAATGTTTAAAACCATGAAATGCTTTTTAAGAAAGAGCTTATTCTATGTTACTTTTTTAACAAATACTGCCACTTTATTTAATGATACCTCAAATTCTCTACAAATATAAAGTATAAGTCCTAGTTTAAATATTTGATAGTTTACAGTTTAAAATAGTTAGATGCATACTTTGATTCTTTCTAAATCTAGATCTTTAAAGAGATCTTTTAGTGAGATTTAAGGAACTTGAATAGTCTGATGTGTTGCGTGACTGAAACGTTTGTCATTCATATCTCCCAGATGTTTGTGAGAAAGATAGACAGTGACCTTCTGTAAAGATTTATAGCCTTGGAAGCCTGAGGGAAGGTTGATGTGAATTAGAATTGACTCTACAATAGAGGGTTGTTTTGGGGTTCCCTGCTAGTAAATGAATAAACATCTTTCTTTCATAACTAACCTTGAGCCCTACAATAAAACTTGTATTATGAGAGAATAATTGCAAAATGTCAAATCTTCAACTTATTAGGTATCATATGAAAATAAGATAAATAAAACATGTTGCAGACTACAATTTGTTATCCTTTGTTCATACTGATATTTTTGAAGTTTGTTGTTGTTGTCAGGTTTCGTCGAGTCGAGTCCAATTTATATTGACCTTATGAACAACAGATCTGAATCCTGTTCTATCCTGTGCCATTCTCACAATCTCAGACACATTCAAGCCCTTTGCACTTGGAATTTTAAGTATAGGTAGTCATATTTTCTGTTGCTTATATGTTAAATTCACTTGGACTTTAAAAGCATGGAAGTTGGGAAAAGAGAATATGCTAGTAGTATATGTTGTTGTTAGGTGTCACTGTGTCACCAACAACCCATAGTGACTCTGTGAACCTTGCCTTATCCCCTGCACTCCTCACAATCTCTTATATGTTGAAACCCATTGTCACAGTTGCTAAGGTTGAGGCCAGAGAAACAGAGAAAGAGTTATATGGTATATAGTAGGGAGCTCTGGTGGCCTAGAGGGTAGGGAGCTGTTCTGTCAACTCAGAGACATGTTGTTGGAATCCACTAGCTGTTCTGTGTGAGAAAGATGGATAATCTCCTCCCATTTGATTTACAGTCTCTAAAAACCTCCTAGAAGGTCAGCTATGTGTGAGTCAGTTCTGACTTGATACATGTAACAACATTCCCACCACCACAAAGAGTTGGAAGATATGATATGTGTTTTAGAATTAGCTCTAGGTTGACCTGACATAAGCATGGGGTGTGGTGAGGATTTCAAGAGCTAATGTACACAAAATGTAGAATTTGTTAAAACAGTAGCAATCTACTTTTTTAATTTTTGTGAATTAAGAATCTAAATACTTGAAATATTTTACATAGATAAGTTATGAGAGAATTTGTTGGTTCTTAATCAAGATATAAAGAATATATTAAATACCTATGTATCCACCAGGCAGCGTAAGAAAAAGCGTCACTTGTACTACATCCATCCTCCCCAAGTCACATATATCTGTTTCTCTCTTGATTAAAAGGTGTAACTCTCCAAATTGGTACTTTTAATTTGTAGACATTTAATGTATTATTTTACTACATGTGCATGCTGTTGTTATGTGTCAAGTTGTAACCAACCAATAGCTGACCTTCAAGCAGGTTTTCAGAGGCAGTAAGTTACATGGGAGAAGACTGACCATCTCCTGTGGAGCAGCTGGTGGATTTGAACCACATGCCTTTGGGATTGCAGTGCAGCTTCTTACCACTTGGCCACCAGAACTCCTTACATGTGTACAGACACCTAAAATTACAGTATTTTATTTAATTTAAAGAATTCTATTTCAAAATTATTTCACAGAAAATGTTCAGGAATAGTACCAAAATATCTTTTATATCCTTTATTCAAGTTCTTCAATTGTTAACATTTTCATCCTTTATTTTATGAACTGTGGTGGATCACTTGCTTTCTATTTCTGTATACATACACACAGATACTCCATACGTAGGTTTCTAAATTATTTGAGAATCATTTGAAAAAGTAATTCTTTGCCATGAATACTTCAATATGTATTTTCTAAAATGAAAGAGTTTCTCTTGCATAACAACGGCATATTTGTCCAAATAAAAAGAAAATTACATTGAACTCCAGAAGAACCTATGTGGTTGGTTCTTAACCAGCTCAGTAAGCACCTCCGCTTACTTCCACAGATAATTTTCATGGGGGATATCTGCAGGATATTTTAAAAATCTGGGGCACTCATGGAAATGTAAATTGGACACTATGCAAAACTGCAGTCTTGAAATTCATCGTTTCAGCAATAGATGGCACTATATTCCTTTTGAAAGGTCTTTTTTTTTTTAATCTTTCCTGATTTTTGTACCTGGGCTGATATGCAAGTGCAGTGCAAAAAATCAGTGTGGAACAGGAAATGAGGGTAACGGTATCCAGTCAGATTCCAGGTTTGAGAAGTTATTCAAGGCCCAAGAAAGGTGGTGGTGGTGTGTGCTGTCGAATCAAAACAGACCCATAGCTGACTCCTTAGTGGATTTTCAGAGGCAGTAAATCGCTTGAGAGGAGATTACACGTCGTTCTCCAGTGCAAAAGCTGATGGGGTTGAACCACCTGCCTTCTCATTAATTACGTTTAAGAATTAATAAAACACTTACCCCCTTTTTTGCTGTCCTTAAAGAGGCTAGTAATTGTTAGGACATAAATAATATGTTGCTTGGAATTTCTTTTGGTCAAGGTACACCATGAAAAATATGATGAAACACTAGTTATCATCTGTCTTTGCTTTTAGATGCCTTCAAGTTGGTACTAGTTAACAGTGCACTCACGTATAACAGAATGCAGAGCTGATTCCGCACCATCCTCTCTATTGCTGCATCCACTGCTTTAATGAATCTCATTAAGAGGTTTTCCTCTTTTTTCACAGATCATCCCCTGAGTATGGGGATGGTCAAAGGATGGGTCTCTTAATAATATATGCAAAATATATGAGATGAAGTCTTGCCATCCTTGCTTCTAAGGAGCATTCAGGCTGTACTTCTATCAAGAGATGTGTTTGTTGAGATGTCTGTGGTGTATTCAGTATTCTTTGCCAACATCACAGTTCAAAGACATCAATTCATCCTGGCCTTCCTAATACATTGTTTAGCTTTGGCAGACAAATGAGCTTATTGAAAATAACATGATTTGGAAGGAAAAAAAGAAAATAGAATGATTTAGATGAGGTGTACTTTAGTTATCAACAAAGTAATATCGTTGATATTTAACTCAAGTATTTTGCAGTGTATGTGTCCAATGCAATGCATCTCTTGATTTCTTGACTGCTGCTTCCAT